CCCCCTGCGCCTTCGCCTTCCCCGCCCCGGGGCCGGGGCCCCCGCCGCCCCCGCTGCCCGCCTTCCCCGAGGGTCCCGGCACCGAGCCCGCCTCCTTCCCTCTGGCCTTCAGGCTGGACCCGTTCACCGACTATGGCTCCTCGCTCACGGTCACTCTGCCGCCTGAACTGCAGGCGCACCATCCCTTCCAGGTCATCCTGCGCTACACCTCGACCGACGCCCCCGCCGTGAGTCCCTCCCGGTGCGCGCAGGGGCTACAAGGCAGGGTGGTGGTGGTGGTCCGCAGGGCTCTCCAGGTGGCTTCTTGCCGCGCTGCCAGGCCAGGAGACCTTAATCTGCACCCTGCACATGGGGCACCTGCAGAGAACGTGGGGGCAGCTTGGCTCTGGAGTCCTGCCCTAGTGCCTTCTGCAATTCCCAGCTGCTTCCTGTGAACACTTAGGAACTTTGGATAGAGCTCCAGGTCCAGGCCCGGTGGCAGTGGGGACCGTGACAGCATGTCACCCAGCGAGTTCCCTGTTCAGATGTTCTGTCCATGTCTGGGCTCAAGAGCAGCTTCTGATGGGCACCTGCCAAGCCATACTGGAGCCTGGCATTGAGGGGCTGGGGATGTAAGATGCAGAAGGGCCTCCTAGTGACCTTGCCTTCAGAGGGCTCAAACACCCACATCTGTTCTTTGGAGGTGGGCTGAGGGAAGGCCAGTCCCAGTGGGAGGCAGAGGAGAGGCTCGTGGACCATGGGGCTTGGCTCTGGGCTCCAGCGCTGGGCCGGCAGTCTGCTGAGGTGGGTGGGCCTCATACTTCCAGCACAGATGCACTAGGCTCTGCAGGCTTTTGGCACAAGGCACCCCACCACTCCAGAGGACCTGCCAGAAAAGCCACGTGATCCAAGTCAGGCATTGTGACTGCATGGCCAATGGTGGGGCTTGCAGGATGGAGCAGAGCCTTCCAGTTCCAAAGCATGGTAGTTCATGCCAGGTCCCCAGGAAGCACATAAAGCACACATATGACATCCAGTGTGCACACACAGCATGTTCACAGTTCTGGAAGTCTTGGAGGGTCTGTTTTTTCACTGCCTGGGACACCCAAATGGACAGGTCAGAAATCAGGATGGGCCAAGGTGACAACTGGGCAGGAAAAGCCCAGATTGGAGGTACACCTGTGGGCCTCCTGCACTTTCCCAGGAGCTCTGAGCAGAGCCTGCCACTTCATTGTCCTCCCAGAGCCCTGTGGGTCTGCCAGCTGCTGGCCCGCAGGGCTGGACCTTGCATGTGCAGTCCAGGGCTCTCTGGTGTCAGGTGTGCCTCTCTGCACGACAAGTGAGAACTGAGGAACAACTTCCTTCCCTGGACCTCATCTTGAACTTGGACCGCATGTGTCTGTTCTACCAGTGCCAGCCAAGTGGAGGGCCAGGGCTTTTGCCAGGCTGTGCAGACAGAGCCAGTGCGTAGAGTGTGGCCATTGTTTCTGGGCTTCCCTTGCCTTGCAGGGTGTCCCTTGATTGTTTCAGACAGGGAATGGTGATGTAGTCTCTTCAGACTGAGTGGATCCAGGATTGGTGGGCTGGGGACCAGGCTTGATGTATGAGCTAGTCTATTTGCAGAAGCAGAGTGGCCTCTAGCTTTGGGCATTCACTGTTGCATGTGAGCACTGCAGAGCTCAGGGTCATGCTCCTAAGCCTGTCCTTCTGCCAAGCAGGGGGACAGCTGGGTTGTCCCACTCCCTGCCAGTAGGCCCTCCAGAGGGGCTGCATACTCTGGTCCATGCCCTCACACTCCAGCAAGAACAGCTTTTTTCCTGACCTGCAGTATCTCTTCCTTCCCTACCAGATAGATGTTCAGCGGCTGAACAGGTTGCCCTGCTGGGGCTCAGTGACCCACCTCTGGGGTAGGGGCCAGCCTCTCAGTGGAGAGCAGACAGCTGAGGTTAAAGGGGGAGAGCTGGGGAGAGCCTGAGGGCCCCTGGGGAGGGAGGGAGGGCACTCCAGGAGTGGAGACAGTGCAGAGGAGGAAGGGGGCTAAAGGCATGTGGAGAATGGCCAGGGCCTGTCCTCCAGTGTGGTCAGGGAACAGAGGGCTTCACGCACTGCAGGGACACTCCACCACATAGGTGCCTGGGTTCTGGGCCTGCAGACCCCAGAGCTCTGGGGCAGGACCAGGAGGCTGCACAAGGTCCCGAGACTGGTCTCTAGGGCAGCCCTGGGCCACCAGAAACAGAACCTCCGCAGGCTTGCTATGGTGAGGAGACAGGGACAGGACAGCCAGAAGGAAGAAATCTGCCAACAGACAGGAGTCAGATCTGTGTGGACCTGGGACCCGCCTGAGCATGGGGTCTGCAGGGCAGGCAGCCAGCCCCCTGGTCTGGGGGTGGCTACTCCCAGGTCTGGCCTCTACTACCCCCTATGATAGTGGCCACTTTCAATTGCAGATCTGCCCACTCTTAGAGGAGAGTTGGAAATGTCTTCCAGTTGTGGCCTGTTTGTTTGACTTTGTTTCGGCAATCAAACTGCCCCAGTCGCTGGCAGGGTGGGTGCAGGACCAGGCAGCATAGTGGCAGCTCTCAGGGTGGGCCTGGCCTCCTCCTCTGGGGTACAGAAAGTCTCAGCAGCAGTGGGGTGGGAGGGAGGCTTGGCCCTGAGGGTGGGCCAGAAGAGCAAACCAAGCCATCTGCTCCAGCCCTGCCTCCAGGCACAGCCAGAAGCCCTCCGGGGCCACTCCTGTCCTCTTGGCACTTGGTGTCTGGCCTTCGTTTCCTGGCAGGGTGCCCTGGCCTGAATGCTGGCCCTGGGCACAGGCTGACTCCTTGGCAGTGTTGGTCACAGGAGCCTCTGGTTCTCCCGCTTTCTGTGATCCTGGCTGAGACCATGTTGGCTGTGGGGGTTTGGACCAGGTTCTGCTGTGCCTTGGCTCCCCTTGAAGCTCAGGTAATGCCAGGAAGGGCTTCCTTCTCTCCTCCCTGTTAGGACTGGGCTGGACTCAGACACATGGCCTCCTTCCTGGCAAGGCCTGGCGATGGGGACTAGGGCAGGCCACAGGCCATGCTCCAGCTAATGACTCTTGCTGTTCCCCCCACCCAGGGAGAGGTGAGGACACCAGGTAGGCAGTGCAGGCTATGGACAGGAGCTGCAGTCTGTGACAAGTGACCCCGACTGCCTTCCTCCCCTGCCGCTGCCCCTTCCTTGGCCCCAAGGCTCTGGCCTACAGCCTCAGGCCAGGCGACTGCTGACACTCAACCCCGCCTGCAGATCTGGTGGCTGGACCCAGAGCTGACCTACGGCAATGCCAAGCCCTTCGTCTTCACCCAGGGCCACTCCGTGTGCAACCGCTCCTTCTTCCCGTGCTTCGACACACCTGCCGTCAAGTGCACCTACTCAGCTGTGGTCAAGGTCGGGGCCCACCTGTGCCTCCTTCAGGGGCTGCATGAAGGGCCGAGGCTACTGGCCTGGCTAGTCACTAGGGAGCTTGCCTACCTCCTCTTCTCTGTTGCCTATTTGGGCTGTGGCCCCAGATGCCACTAGGCCACTGTCCTAGAGAAATCCACCTCCCCGCTGTGCAGAAGGATAGCTCTGCAGGGAGGGTGGCCAGGTTGCATTCCTGATGAGGGCTCTTCCTAGACCAGTGAGGCCCTGCCTGGACAAGAAGCCTTCTGTCAGGAGCATGGCTTGTAGGGCTGTCTGATGGGATGTTGGGTTCCCTCTCATGGATGGGGAGCTCCTTGACCGAGATTGTGGGACCCCCACCCAGGGGAGAGGTGGGGACACCAGGTGGGCAGTGCAGGACCCCCCACTGGAAGGTATAGGGCTCCCTGGTGAAGACCTGGGTCCCTATCACAGATATGGGTCTCCTGCCCTGGGGGTGAGTGCCCTGCCTGGTAGACTGCCTATCCTCAGCTGGCCCCCTTGCAGGCCCCATCAGGGGTACAGGTGCTAATGAGTGCCACCCAGAGTGTGTACCTGGAGGAGGAAGGTGTCTACCGCTTCCACATGGAGCACCCTGTGCCCGCCTACCTCGTGGCCCTTGTGGCTGGAGACCTCAAGCCAGCAGACATCGGACCCAGGTAGGCCTCCAGTCCTGCTGGTCCCATGCAAGGTGGTCCAGGCCTCAGGCAGAGCCCCCACAGCCTGGGTCTGCACCCTGCACCCACAGCTGCCCTGCCCAGGCCCCTGGGCTGCAGGTATGTGGCCTGCTGCCAGGTCCTGCTCATCTACACATTCTCAGACCAGACAGCCTGACCTGTCCAGTGCTCTATCAGCCTGAACTTCCAAGGCCACATGCAGCCACATGCTCTCGCAGGTTCCTTTACCCAGAGACAGAGCGGATCAAATGGTCGCAGAGTGCGGGGCCACCCCTGCACTCCGGAGGGAAGGACCACTGTAGCCCCTGTCCAGGGTGGTGGGCTAAGGCAGTCAGCCCGGCCAGAGGAGGCAGAAGGAAGGCCTCAGCCCACCCTCTGCACCCTCTGCAGGAGCCGCGTGTGGGCAGAACCATGTCTCCTCCCCACGGCCACCAGCAAGCTGTCAGGGGTGGTGGAGCAGTGGCTGAGTGCGGCGGAGCGGCTCTACGGGCCGTACATGTGGGGCAGGTACGTCCTGTCCCCTGGCAGCCTGCCACCACGTGAGGGAGGCCACGTCCCTGCCTTCTGGAGGAAGAAGGGCCATGCCCTAGGCCCTGTCCCCCATCTCCTGGGAAGAAGGGAACCCCCTGCAGGGCTGGAGGGCTGCCCCTGATGGAGGGCCCGTGAGGCCTGCTAATGCCCTCCGTCACCTGCACTCACGGCACAGGTACGACATCGTCTTCCTGCCACCCTCCTTCCCCATCGTGGCCATGGAGAACCCCTGCCTCACCTTCATCATCTCCTCCATCCTGGAGAGTGACGAGTTTCTGGTCATTGATGTCATCCATGAGGTGGCCCACAGCTGGTTTGGCAATGCCGTCACCAACGCCACGTGGGAGGAGATGTGGCTCAGCGAGGGCCTGGCCACCTACGCACAGCGCCGCATCACCACAGAGACCTACGGTACCACCTGGGGAGGAGTCTGGAGCCGCCTCGGGCAGATGGGGCACTGCCCTCTGCCAGGGGCTAGAGCTGGCCCACAGGCTCAGGGCAGGGAGCTAAAGGGCCAGCGTGGCTCCACTGTGGCAGCTCTCCCGACTCCAGCACCTCCTCTCGCCTGCCTGGCCCTCCCCACCCAGGTGCCGCCTTCACCTGCCTGGAGACAGCCTTCCGCCTGGACGCCCTACACAGGCAGATGAGGCTCCTTGGAGAGGACAGTCCAGTCAGCAAGTTGCAGGTCAAGCTGGAGCCAGGTGCCTGCTCCCACCAGGCCTGTGCCTGGGACCTTGTGGCTGCCACCCACCCCTCAGGCCTCCTTGCCTGCCTCTGGCTGGCTCAGGCCGGGCTGAGTCCCCACCGAGGTCAGGAGGGGTGTTCCCAGCCCAGGGAACGCCTTCTGGGCCACCCTGGCCTGCCACTGTCTCATGCCTTCAAGTGCCCATCCCTGAGATGTCGACCCTCAGGTGCCCGAGCCCCCAGGCAGGGAAGGGCCAGGCCCACCCCTGCACACCCAGGGTGCTAGTGGGACCCTGACCTTATGGGGGACAGTGGCCCTCTGCCCATCCTGCTCTCAGAGCAGGCCACAGCCCAGACAAGGTATTCCCTGCAGGCGTGAACCCCAGCCACCTGATGAACCTGTTCACCTATGAGAAGGGCTACTGCTTCGTGTACTACCTGTCCCAGCTCTGTGGAGACCCCCAGCGCTTCGACGACTTTCTCCGCGTGAGCAGACTGCACCTGCGCCCCCTGCCTGAGCCCCGCCCCAGCACACAGGGCTGCCTCTCTTGGGGGGAGGGTGGAGTCGGTCGGGACACCCAGAGCCCTACCAGGACCTGGCCTGCTGAGACACCACGTCTTCCTCTCCTGTCCACCCCAGTGGGCCGCTCGACAGGCCCTGGGCTGCTCACGTCCATGACACACACCCCAGCTCTGACAGGGGCCAGGCGTGCCCAGCCCTCCAGGCCTGCTCAGGCGCCACCCCTCCTCACACAGGCCTATGTGGAGAAGTACAAGTTCACCAGCGTGGTGGCCCAGGACCTGCTGGACTCCTTCCTGAGCTTCTTCCCAGAGCTGAAGGAGCAGAGTGTGGACTGCCGGGCAGGTGAGAGTGGGGACCTGTCTGCCCGAGCTGCTGGCCCTACTGGAGAAAAGCCCCATCTGTCACATCTTTCCTTTAGCCAGCCCTCACTGACCCCTGTGGACCCCCAGCCTGGGCCATGAGAACAAAGGAGGCTGTACCTCCCAGCCTGAGGGGGCCTCCTGGAGGAGGCGGCCCTTAGGTGGAGCAGGCCAAGTTAGGAGCCAGGGGACCAGGGCCCAGCGGGATCCTAGGGGCCTGGTTGGCCCTGCTGGCTCCACTACACCACACCCTCGAGGACTTCCCAGAGGGTCTGAGGGTATGGGGGGTCAAGGAAGGAACTGGAGGGTCCTGAAATCCAGGGAGGGGCCAGAATTGGCTGGAAGGCAATTAGGCACAGCTGGGAGATCTGGGCATGGTGACCCTAAATTCTGGAAGGTCCCTAAGTACATCAAGTGTTTTGGGGGGTAGGGGAGTGGCCAGCCTGGTACCACTGCTTTAGAGCATGTGTCATCACCTCTCACAGTGAAGTCACCTTTAAAGGACTCAATTGTCTTGTGCCCAGGCTGGGCCTGGAGAGGGTGGAGGTCACATGGCCACTGATCCGAGTCCTTCTGGCTTCCCTGTGACCTTCACAGGAGTCTCTCCGGGGGCTTAAAGAGGCAGGCACTGACTGGAGATGACCCTTCCCAAATTACCCATGTCCCTGGGAGCCTCAGTCCCTGGAACCAGCCCCTTCAGGCTGGGTCTTCTGGGCAGGCGGGGTGGGACCACAGGACCGCTGTTCCTGGCAGGGCTGGAGTTTGAGCGCTGGCTCAATGCCACGGGCCCACCGCTGGCCGAGCCGGACCTATCTCAGGGGTCCAGCCTGACCCGGCCTGTGGAGGCCCTGTTCCAGCTGTGGACGGCGGAGCCCCTCGATCAGGCGGCAGCATCAGCCAGTGCCATCGACATCTCCAAGTGGAGGACCTTCCAGACCGCACTCTTCCTGGACCGGCTCCTGGATGGGTCCCCACTGCCTCAGGGTGGGTCCCTCAGCCAGCAGGTGGCCCTGGGGGGAGTGGCCCTGGCCTGGCCTGACTTGCCGCTGCCCCACAGAGGTGGTGATGAGCCTGTCCAAGTGCTACTCCTCCCTCCTGGACTCCATGAATGCCGAGATCCGCATCCGCTGGCTGCAGATCGTGGTGCGCAACGACTACTACCCAGACCTCCACCGGGTGCGGCGCTTCCTGGAGAGCCAGGTGCAGCCACCTGCCTGGGGTCACCTCAGGGGCCCCCCCACCCTCTGTCTCCAGCCGACTGCTCAGGCAGGAGGCACACCAGAGAGCTGGGTGGGAAGGTCTGGGGGTCTGGGCTGGGAACCAGCCTGGGTCGGGGGAGACAGGGATAAGTCAAAGCTCAGAGGCAGCCTGGACTGTCCCAGTCCTTGGAGAGACCATAGAGGCCCAAGATGGGAGGAGTTGGTGTCCAAGGGTCTCCGCTCACAGCCTGGGCCTGGCTGGGCCTCCAGCCTGTGGTGTTCAGCTCCCAGGTGGGCACAGGGGCATCCAGGTTCCAGCCTGTGGGACCTGGCTTCCCTGGGGCACCCCTCCAGCCCCACACCCAGCCAGCAGGGAATGTGAGGTCAGGGTGACCGGCTGCTGGGGGTCTGGGCCGGTGAAGTAGCTGGAGCAGGTCCAGGGATTGGAAGGCTCCAGCCAGGCGGGGTTGGTGGGAGAGGCCCGAGGAGCCACGAGGTGACCTGGTGTCCCCACAGATGTCGCGCATGTACACCATCCCACTGTATGAGGACCTCTGCACGGGTGCCCTCAAGTCCTTTGCGCTGGAGGTCTTCTATCAGACGCAGGGCCGGCTGCACCCCAATCTGCGCAGAACCATCCAGCAGATCCTGTCCCAGGGCCTGGGCCCCGGTGCCGAGGCCAGCACTGCGCCCAACGCTGAGCTGGCCAGAGCTGGGGCAGAGGCAGGGTCAGACTCGGCAGCCCTGCTGCTTGGCGACGAGGCCCCCAGTAGCACCATCTCTCTCAGGGACGTCAACGTGTCTGCCTAGCCCTGACTTTGGGCCAACCTTAACCTCCCAGACACCAAGATTGTGCCTTCTGTGGCCCGGGCCGCCATGACTGCGCCTTGGCTCTGGCCACGAGCTCGGCCCGGGCCCCTGAGCCTCTCCTGTGGGCTCTCCCTTGGGCTCTCCCAGGCTGGGGGCTGGGGGAGAGGATTCTGTCTAGTGGCAGTCCTGGGGGCCTGAGCTCATCCTGTCCCAGCTCTCCTGCACTGTGGACCTCAGGACTGGCCTTATACACCACGCCTCCCATCTCAACACTGACAGCCATGCGTGGCCCTGGACACCCGTACCTGCTGGACACCATCCTGGGACTGCAGCTCCAGCAGCTCATGGCAACCACCACACTGTGCCTTACGTCTGCAGACAGGCTGCACTGCCCCCGAAGCACAGCTTCCCCAGAACCCTGCACTGTTATCCCCTGGCATAGGGACAAGGACACGATGTACCCTCACTGTGGGGGCAGGGGATAGGAGAGAAGGGGCATCACATGGGGAGCCTTGGCCCCTCGGCACATGGAGTCCAGGTCCCAGAGGCCTGTTCTCCCAGCTGCCTGGGGTAGCGGCACAGCCATCCAGCTCACCCCAGGAAAGGGGTGGTGCTGATGCTCTTGGGGCACACCTGCTGGAGGCACCAGGTAGGAAGGCTCCAGCTTGGGACTGTGCAGTGGGCACCACGTGACTGTCCCATTAAACCTCCACTCTGCAGACTGACCTCCCTTTCTGTCTGTCCCCATGCCTGTCCTCTGCCCTATATGGGGCTGGGGTTTGGGGCAAGCACTGCCCCAAAGCCCACAGCAGCAGGCCCCCCCCTTGTCCTCTGCCAGGCCTCCTGGGCATGAGCATAGCCTCCCCAGGACCTGCAAAGTGGCAGGCTGTCACACCCTGACTATGGACCGTCCCCTGAGTCTGGCCTTGGTGGCAGGTCTCTTCCACAGTGGAGTGCAGGCAGAGGCATTTGTGGCAGGGACAGTCTTGGAGGTTACGGGTGTAGGCCCCAATGCAGGGCCACCACCATTATGGCAGGCCATGGGGTTTGATGTCCCCACTGTGTCAAAGGCAGCTCTGCTCACAAGGTGGTGGCTGGCACAACTCCTCATAGCCACTCAAGGACTCAGGCTGGCAGCAGGGCCACCATCTGGACCGCACAGAACTTTGCTTCTTCCACCTGGGCAACATGCTGTGGCCTGGGGGTAACACATCTCTTGTCCCAGCAGGCTGGCCACCCTTCAGTCTGTCACCAGTTGTCTCATGCACCCTCTTTCCTGTTCAGGATGTACCCTCCCACTTCCCAGGGGAGACAGTCCAAGTGCCCTCCACAAGTTTGGGACCAGGGTCTGGGTCACCTCTCCATAAGATGGCTCGTGTGCACAGTCCACCTCAGCACTGGGACATCAGGGGCAGGAACCCAAAGGTCACCCACCCTCACAAGGAGCACTGAACAGGGAGGGGATGGATGCGGTGGTGCCCTACACAGAGAAGGACGGGGTCACCTGATCTCAGCCCTGTCGGGTGGCCACACCACAGCCAGCACGCAGCTGCGTTCTCTGGACCTAGACACCATCCTTATAAGGACCCACCTTTTTGCTGGTTCCTTCCCCCGCCCCAATATGGGGCCCACAGAAAGGCTGTCCCTGGCAGCCTCTTCCCCGTGAAAGCTGCCTCCAGGTCTCCAGCCAAACTAATCCCAGGCTCGTGGTTTCTTTGGCAATTATTCAAGGCAACACCTTTGTGGTCTCCGGCTTCCTGAGCCCAGTGCCAGGCACCACAGCCGCACCCACAGAGCTGCCCCCAGACACTGCTTGGATCTGTCAGAAGAGACACCTAGTAGTGATAGCCACAGTGGGGGCACGCCCAGGATGCCATCCTTGATGCCACTCTGTCCCGGCTCTGCACACTCCCATCAGGGGGCAGAGGCATGCCCTTTGAGAAAAGCCCTGCCCTCCTGGCCTGCCTTACTGCCTTTCTCCAGCTCCCAAACCTGGAAGGTGCCATCGGTTCCCTTCCTGCAGGTCCTTGGCAAGGCAGCCTGTGACCAATCTTCACTGCCAACCCGCTCCCCACCTCCTCCACTCCCACTCCTGTCAGTGCATGCCACCTGCTTCGCAAGGCCCACAGGTGAGCCAACATTCCAGCTGTGTTTGCTGACAGCCACAGCCCAGTCTGGTCATGTGTGCCCATGTTCTGTCAGGCTGGACTGCTGGAGCCACCAGCAACGCGGCAGCACTGCTGTCTGCAGCAAGGAAGTTCACGTCTCTCTCAGGCTGCAGTCCACCTCGGCGGGCAGGGTGGCTGGGCTTTCTCCTTAGGGTGCTGATGGAGGAGACACTGGGGTTCCCAGGCACCGTGCCAGGATAACAAGAGCTGTGGAGGGCCCTACACCACTTCTGTTCCTGCAGGCCCACCCACCCCAGCCTGAGTGCGGCAGTCGGGGTATTTGGCAGACAGCACCCATCACCACCGGAAGAGCTGAGGCCAGAATGTTGGGAAATGCGTGCATTTAAGAACAGGGTAGGGGCTTACCACCGGTAGGAAGAGAGTGGTTAAAGGAACCAGGATGTTACTGAAAAGGGGACGGGGCCTTAATCAAGAGACTGGCCTCCAGAGGCCAGCTGGCGGGCTGAAGCCTGAGGCAACAGTGTGAGGAGGGGGTGGATTTGCATGTTCAGTAGTTCCTATCGCTGGAGGCTCTCCAGTCCTTAGAGTCCAGATGAAGTTTTCTGAGTCTCAGTTAATGTCTTATGAAGTTAGACTTGTCCTTAGTGCTTCTCTTCCTTTCCCTACTCTTACTAAAACTTACTGGTGGTATTTGCTTCTTAAGTCCAGAGGTTTTGGAAAGAATAGTGGGAATTTCTAGCACAAAGATCAGGCACAACTGAGAATTACTCACTTGGGTTAGTAAACATGTGGAAAAGGATAACATGCTCAGCCAACCAAATTTAGACCAAACAGAGTTGAAGAATGATCAGAAGAGGGCTTTAGGACACATTAAAGAATCAGACAAATGGTGCCTGTATCTGTGTGTCTGCATGCATGTGAAATAAACTATACAACAGGACTAGGTCTTTGTGAAACAAGAACAGGTAGTAATGAAAAAACGGCCAAATACCTTAGAATTTTTTAAAAGTTAATTATTAAGAGAAATAAAATAAAAATTCTATAGAATAGTCACAATGAAGAGGAAATTCATAGCCTGGAATATCAAGACAGAGTGAAGTGATTTTTTAAAGAAAAAAGTAGTAGAAACTACTTAAGGTTTGGGGGTCAAGAAGTAAAAAATAAAACTACACAAAGAAGTTAAATTTGATCAAGGCATCCTAATCCTCAACTATTTGTTCCTCTTGTCATACTAGGGGCCCTACCAAGAGTCCTTCCTCCCACCAAGACTTCAGCCTCCCTTTTCTGTAGCTGCTTTCTCCTCCTTCCTCCTCTGATTCTCACCTCTCTGCTTTCCCCATCAGCCCATCTCACTCATCCAGGCGGAGCCATGCCCTCAGAAGCCTACCTACCCAAGTACCCATGGAGGGTTCCCTAACAAAGACTGTCTGTACTAAGAGGAGTATGATGTCAGCTGCAAAGACTATCCCCCACCCTCTTTCCCCATGAGTAATCACTTGGTCAGACACTGGGAGAACAGAATCCCAAGAGAAGGGGAATCATAGCCAAGTGTGGGGCTGGGCAGGGACATCCTCAGTTATGTGTGGAGCACGGTAAGGGTGGCTCAGCACAGGACCTGAGAGAGCTCTTGCTGGCCAAGGCAGAGTGTTCAGACCACTGCCACCTAGGGAGCACTCTTTGTTCAAAATGAATGAACAAACAAAAACCTCACAGTCTCTCAAGTGGATTCAACAACCGTGATACTGACAATAGCCCACATCTAAAATCTGCTCACCTCTAAGGACGGAAGCCAACTTTGGAGACTATCTACATAATACTCATAATAAGGTTTAAGAACACACCTTGGGATAATAGGTTAAAAAAATCCTATAAGAACCATGTATTGTTTTTGTAATGGGAAAAAACCAAGGCTTAATCTAAAATATCACCAAAAAGAGCCCCTGCTCTGCTGTGGTGAGCAGAGTGCACTAGGCCTTCCTGGTGTGAAGCAGAGACGCTGGTCTTTCCTCCTATATGGTCCTCGGCCATAGCCTGCCGCCTCTGAAGCTCGAATTCTTCACTCATAAAACAGGGCAGGAATGCCCACCTCTGGGATGTGTAAGGATCCCACAAACAACACTCAACATTCCAAAGGTAGCTCGTCCCTTCAAGTCTTTGGTATTTGTACTCGCCCAGGTAAACCCTCTTCATTATCCTTAGAAAGCCAACTATGGGCCAGGAAAGACCAAGCTAGTTCCTGTTCTAGTCCTGCCTGGAAGGATTCCTCTACCTAGAACCTTTAGTGCTGGTTTAAAGGTAAATTGTGTGTTTGTGTGGGAAAGGGGAGAAACCCAAGCTTCTAGGACCCCACCCCCACTGTATCAATCTGAGAAATTTCCCAGAAGGAGATCCATGCTTGGGTCACTGGCAACCCCCTCCAAGCCCAGGACCATAACTGTTGCTAACTGTCCTTCAAGGACCAGGACTGTGAAGGCCACTGGCCACTTGGAGGCCAAGAACAGTACCTTTGCTGACCACTCCCTATGGCCCAGGACTGGCTGCCTGCTTTGTGTCCATTTCCTAATTTGATCCTCAAGACCGTCGAACAGCCACTACCATGGGACTATAGATGGGGAAGCAAAGGCTCCAGGAAGGGCCAGGATTCTAGCTGGGCGGGTCCAGGGGATCTTTGCTTAACAACACTGGAGATTCTGGAGCCTGGGCTGCTGCCTGGGGCCCCTTTAGGTCCACTGGGGCAGGTGCCAGGCCCGTGTCACTTTTCAGGCTTGAAGGGGCAGGATGTGCATAGTGAAAACTGGCCCTGCAGGGACTTGACAGCAGGCCTGTTCCCCAGCAGGTGGACAACACGGGCTGCAGGTCTTCCCTGGCCTCGGGCCTGAACTACCCTGTGTTTCAGACCTGAAAACCAAGCTGTGTGCATGCTCCACTGTTCTTTGTCCTACTGGCTTCCTGATCTGATGGGGTCCAAAGTTAATCTCTCTTCCCATCCTGTGGTGCCACCACCTAGAGCACCTGCAATCCCACCTTGTGATGATTAGTCACTAAGCACCTTTTGTTCTTCTTGGATATTTCTGATTGAACCCAGGGGAGCTTCACCACTGAGTTATATCCCTAGTCCTTTTTATTTTTTGAGACAAGCTCTCACTAAATTGCTCAGGCTGGCCTCAAACTTCGATCCTTCTGTCTCAGCTTCCAAGTCACTGGGTGTGGGAGGCCAATCTAGCACCTGACTCCCCTGCTGAAAGGTGTGGTATCCCATATGGCATCCAGCGGTCACACTGCTGGAGAGCCCCTTCTTCTAGGGTGCAAGCCACTGTGTCTTCTTGCAGAACTCCACATCCCCAGGGATCCAAACACCTCACCTGTCCTTGTAACCCCGCCCCCCTTGACCTTCATTGGATGGGATTTCCTAAGAATTTAGATTCCCCTAATAAAAGCTCACTCCAAAGCCTGTGCTCTGGCTCGCACTCTCGCACTTTCTCTCTCCCCGGTGTAGTTCTTCACTCTCCAGTTTGGAGAGCTTGAGGCCACGGGCAGAGGAGCCATCCCAGTGCTTGGTTTAAAGGTAAATTGTGTGTTTGTGTTTTATTTCTAAC